TCATTTGTATTTCTGTGGGGTCTGTTGTTATTTCGCCTCTATCATTTCTGATTTGGTTTATTTGGGACCTTTCTCTTTGCTTCTTGGTGAGCCTGGGAAGTGGTTTGTCAATCTTGTTTATCCTTTCAAAGAACCAGCTCTTGGCTTCATTGATTTTCTGTATTGTTTTTTTGGTCTCTATGTCATTGATTTCTGCTCTAATCTTTATTATCTCCTTCCTTCTGCTCACTCTGGCGTTTTCTTGTTGCTCTCTTTCTAATTCTTTGAGTTGTAGAGTTAGATGATTAACTACCATTTTTTCTTGTTTTTTGAGATAGGCCTGTAGAGCTATAAACTTCCCTCTCAGGACTGCTTTCATTGTGTCCCAGAGTTTTGGATTGTTGTGTTTTCATTGTCATTAGTGTCCAGGATGTTTTTAATTTCTTCTTTGATGTCATCGGTAACCCAATCAATATTTAATAACATGCTATTCAGCTTCCAAGTTTTTGAGTATTTTGGGTTGTTTTTATTGTAGTTTATTTCTAACATTATGCCATCATGGTCTGAGAAGATGCTTTTTATGATCTCAATCTTCTTGAATTTGTGGAGACTTTGCTTGTGACCCAATATGTGGTCTATTTTTGAATATGTCCCATGAGCACCTGAGAGGAATGTATATTCCGCAGCTGTGGGGTGTAGTGTTCTGAAGATGTCAATTAAGTCCATCTGATCTAGTGAGTCATTTAGGATTGCTGTTTCTTTGCTGATTGTTTGTCTAACGGATTTATCCAGTGATGTCAGTGGTGTATTAAAGTCCCCTACCATGATTGTGCTATTGTCGATATCTCCCCTGATATCTTCCAGAAGTTTTCTTATGTATGTGGGTGCTCCTGCATTGGGTGCATATATGTTTACCAGGGCTACATCTTCCCGTTGTATTGATCCCTTTAGTATCATGAAGTGGCCCTCCCTATCTCTGGTTATGGCCTTCACTCTGAGATGTATTTTGTCAGATATAAGTATTGCTACCCCAGCTTTCTTTTCCTTTCCATTTGCGTGAAAGATATTTTTCCATCCCTTCACTTTCAGTCTGTGTGAGTCCTTTCCAATGAGGTGGGTCTCCTGTAGACAGCAGATGTATGGGTCATGTTCTTCTATCCATTCAGCCACTCGGTGTCCCTTATTTGGAGCATTTAGTCCATTCACATTCAAAGTTATCATTGAAAGGCACTTGTCCGTAGCCACTTCTTTTTTGTGTGTGTGTGTGGCTGTTTTCTTTCTGAGCCTGATATTTCTTCTTTTACACCAGTCCCCCCAGCATTTCCTGCATGGCTGGCTTGGTGGTGATAAACTCCCCTAGCCCTCCCCTGTCTGTGAAGCTTCTTATTTCCCCTTCAATTTTGAACGACAGCCCTGCTGGATAGAGCATTCTTGGATTCAGTCCTCCGCCCTGCATCACCTTGTAGATTTCCGTCCATTCTTTTCTGGCCTGATGTGCCTCTGTTGAGAAATCACTTGACAATCTAATGGGAGATCCCCCGTATGTTACTTTCCGCCTCTCTCTTGCAGCCTGTAAGACTCTCTCCTTATCCTGAACATTTGCCATGGTAATTATGATGTGTCTTGGTGTGGGTCCCTTCGGGTCCACCCCGCCTGGGACTCTCTGGGCCTGTGCGACTTCCCTCTTCCCCACCTCAGGGAAGCCCTCTGACACCATCCCTTCGAATAGGCCCTCCAATCCATGTTCATCTTTCTGTTGTTCTGGCACCCCTATTATTCGTATGCTGCTTCGTTTCATGTTATCCCAAAGTTCCCTTAGGCTCTCCTCCTGCCTTTTAATTTTTTTCTCCATTTGCAGTACAGTTTGAGTGTGTTTTGCTTCCTTGTCTTCTAATTCACTGATTCGGTCCTCCGCTTCTCCCAGTCTACTGTTGATACTTTCAATGGTGTTTTTTATTGCAGCTATGTCGCTCTTCATTTCTTCTTGGGACTTACTTAAGTTGTTGATTTTTTCACCTGTCTCTTCTAGCTTCTTGCATACGTAGTTGAGTTTTTCATCTGTTTCTTCTTGCTTCTTGAACATCCGGTGCATGTACTCTAGGAACCTTATTCTGAATTCTTTTTCCGTCATGTTGCATATCTCTGTCTCACTTAGCTGCTTTTCTGGCGAGTCCTCCTTTTCTTTCCTTTGGGGGTTTCTTTGTCTACCCATGTTTGATCTCACTGACATTACTAGTTGTTGAATCGTTCAGTGGCTGGACCCTGGGTGGCAGTGGCTGCTCCCTGGGTGGCAGTGGCTCCTCGGTCTGTGGTTGCTCCTTGGGCGGTTGTGGTAGCAGCGGCTCCTCTGTTGATAGCAGGGCCTCTGATGGGTGCTGTTCACAGTTGTGGTGGCTCTTCTGGCTGGTGGAGGGAGGCTTCAGACGCAGCAACTGTTCCCCAGGCAGAGCGTGTGGTGATCAGGAGGCCGCTGTTGCTTGAATCTTCGAGGCAAGTCCAACCTTTCCGTGGAGGGGTGCAGGTCTCCCCTTGGCTCTTGCAGTCGCGCTGTTTGCGAATCGCTGCCTCCGGGTCAGTAGCCGCCGGGCTAGTAGCCGATCTCTGGATGCCGGTGAACGCTGCCTGAGATGGCGCGGTCCCGCCGCTGCGCTGGTGCCCAGAGGGAGGTTTCAGCCTCAATCTCCAACCATCCGCATTTTTTAGGAGTTTTCTGTCTTTCCTGGCTGCAGACTGTCTCTCAGCTGAACCTCCCCAGCTTGATCGGGCTGATTGTTACCCGTTTCAGCTGCTCGCCCCCATCTGGTCCGGGACAAAGCACCAACACGTCCGTCTAAGCCTCCGCCATTTTCTCATCTCCACGCGCAGCCTGTTGAATGGTCGTGACTGGGACACTGTTAGGACCAATTAGCATATTACCTCTTTATATATATATAGATAAGGTAGATGAGTGATCTGCCTAATGTAGAGTAATGTTATCAAACACAAATAGTATTTTTAGATTTCCTGAAATGTACTTTTTTTCTCTTGCCAATAGATCTCAGCATATTAACCTTTCCTAAAGCAATTCTGAATTCGGTTATCTGACATTAGCCAAGTGCTTTCAATTGTCTCAACTCTTTTTAAATTTTTTAGGTGTCCACTGATTTGGAGAACATTGACACAGAAGTTAATTCTAAAGCGAAGAGTCATGTGACACTCCCGGAGAGCAGTTTTAGAAGAAATTGGAAATAGAGTTACAACCAGAGCCACACAAGTAGCTAAGGTAACAAACTTGAGGACTGTATGGGCACCCACTGGAGCAACATTGGCTGTCCTGCCCTATTCACATATCTTTTCCTTGTAGAAAGCTTCAAACACCAAAGCACCTGTTCAACCCACCAAAACAACAAATGTCAACAAACAGCCGAAACCTGTTGCTTCTGTGAAACCAGTACAGATGAAAATGTTGGCTCCAAAGGTAGGAAGTTCTGAATTTACAAACTTACTTCATGAAGTAGCCTGTTTTTGGCTAGGCTGCATGGTGCCTTTTCTGCACTGCAACTTTTGAAGAATAGCTAATTACACTCAAATAAATTCAGTGATCTCAGAGTGAAATTTGGTAGTTTTTGTTAAAATAATCGTAAGAATGAACTTGCCCATGAAGACTGTGTAAGCTCACAATTCTGTGACTGGTTAGCTCAGCCTGTTCCCTTCCACCATGTTCAAGTTCATGCATGCTGTCATTCCTAGATTATATACACTCATGTGATTACCATGAGCTGGCTCTGTTGTAGGTGCTGAGAATACAACAATAACTACTTGGCTCTTTCCAGTTCAAAGATATGTATATATTATTGTATGAAGTTTTTCCAAATAAAACTGGTTATATGAGAAATATATACATCGAACACTTACTATATGCATTCTTTTATATTAAGGCTGATAAAGGGGCATCTTGCCTTCACAAAGCTTGTATAGAAAGGGCATCTGTACCTGAAAATTTAATTAGTAATCCTAGGAAACGATCCTAGATGCACTTCATGGAATAAGTGGCATTTGTAAGGATAAGGAGAAGCTGACAGGAAAAAGCACCTTTTGGGGGGACGGGGAGAACAAAGCAGTAGCAAGAATCAAGGCACCAAATGTGTTTTGGGTAAGGAGTCTACAAGTCTAACTTGGGTCAGGAGGTTTGTGTGAGGAAGCAGAAGATAAAGTTGGGAGAAGGTTACAGTTGTATTTGAAGGCCTTGGAATTTAGATTTTTTCCTGAAGGCAGTGATTTTTAACCTTTTTCATCTCATGGCACACAAAGTAATTACTAACATTTTGCAGCACACCAAAAAATATATTTTTTTCTGATCTGACCAAAAAAAAAGGTATGATTTCAATTTATTCTATCAGGGAAAAGAGCTCAGTGTCCCTGACTAGCCAAGTATTGTATGTTTTAAAAATTCCCGTGACACACCGGTTGAAAATCGCTGCTGTAAGGCAATAAGGAATGTGAAGAGTTTTGAGAAGAAGGGAAGGATGAAACTGGGTAGGGTGGGAGAAAGGACCATAAATTAGGGGGAATTGCAGTTGTCTAAGCTGGAGCTGAAGAGGGTCTTGAACCAACCTATACAGATGCTCAGAGACAACATCAAATGTGTCAGGATGTACTAGAGCTCCTTTTGCAGACACATCCTGTATGTTGAAGGAATTCTTTGGATATGTTGCCTGGAGTGGAGGAGTGAGACCCTTAAGCACCGAGTAAGAAACCATCCTATCTAATAATAGACAAACATGGTAATTGACCATACCTTCGCTACGCCTCCCATTGGCTAATCAGCACGATATGCAAATTAACCGCCAACAAAGATGGCGGCGAATTTGCATACTGCAGGAAGGGCTGGACAGTGCGATCCGCCCGCCCCGCCACCTGCTCGGCTGCCCGCCAGGCCTACCATCCACGTGTGCGACCCGGTGGGCGGCGGGGCGGGGCGATTGTGACCAGCCCAACCCGTCCCACCGCCCGCTGGGCCTGCCGTGTGCAGTGGGCAGCGGGGTGGGGCGGCGCGGCAGAGGGCCTGCCATCTTCGACCCAGCGCGGGATCCGGGCCTGCCATCTGCCACCCGGGGAGCCGGCCTAAGCCAGCAAATGGTTATCTCCCGAGGGGTCCCAGACTGTGAGAGGGCATAGGTCCCACTGAGGGACACCCCCCCCCCCCCACCAGTGCACAAATTTTTGTGCACCGGGCCTCTAGTTTAGGAAGAAATTATAAAAATAAGGGCAGTCAGGAGAGAGAGGTAGCTTAGGGGAAGGTGTCCTGTTTGGCTTTAGATGTGTTGAGGTATCCACTGGGAAGTATAGTTGGAAATGGACCAGCAGCATCAGGAGGGACAGACTTGGGAAGCTTCTACCTGGAATCTACCTGGAAGAGATGTTGCTGTACATAAAACAAAAAAAGCTTCAAATCAAGAACAATAAAGCTCCGAACAAATACTCAAGATCAACCTTCCTTTAATGGGCTTTTCCTGGGAGGTTGCCAGTGGCCTCCTAAATGCCAGTCCCAAAGCAGCTTTTCAGACCTTGAGCTCTTGACTGTTACTAAGCATTTATATGGGTGACTGTTTATGTGGTTCCTCCTGCACTACAGAAGGGCCATTTGTCAGTATATTTTAGATGGTTATTCTCCATACCTAGTAAATCTGTTTTAAAAAATTTATCCTAAAAAAATGATCACAGAGACAGTAGAGGACTTTTAGATAGTGTTGTAATGAATATCTCATAATAGAGACATATTCTCTATTAAGAGATCAGTTAAATCCATTCAATGAAATGCTGTGAATACCATGTTTTAATAGAATACTTAAAGATGTCAAAATGCATGTTACAGCCCTAGCTTGTGTGGCTCAGTTGGTGAGGGGTCATCCTGTTGCACAAAGTGTTGCCAGTTCAATTCCTGGTCAGGGCACATGCCTGTGCGCACTTGGGGGCATGCATGAGGCAGCAAATTGATGTTGCATTCTCACATTGATGTTTCTCTCCCTTCCTCTCTAAAAGTCAATAAACTATTCTTTTTTGAAAAATGCATGTTACATTAGAAAACATTCAAATTATCACATGATATGATGCAATGAAACCCCAAATTTGCTTTTAAAAATGTTTTCATATGCAAAATATTGATGATACTTTTTAGTATTTTGTTGGGCTTAAGATTGATTTTTATTTTCTTCCTTAAAATTGTCAGATTTTTTTTCACCATAGATACATATTACTATTTGAATTGAAGAAGGAAAAAAGACCCCAAAAAAAGCAAAGAACCAAAAATATTGTGAACAAAACAAAGGAGAAATTTCCTTCAGAACTCCACTCTCTGAGTTCCCTTTTCTCCACATCTTGGCTGACTCCTTTTTCTCTAGCTTCCTGACAAAATTGAGGCCACTGTGTTTCAGATAAAGAATTATGGACCTGTAGCTCAGTTTATCTAAAAACCATTTCTGTGATTGAAACATGCTTCTAGTTTCAGAATACATCGAGGATTAATGAACAAGAATTGTTTCCAATTCAAAGGCACTTTTCTCTGAAAAAGAGTACAGGAGTGACCATGACATTTACAATGTAGGGAAGCCCCACCTGGCAGGGTAGCCCCTCTGCTCGCCTGTCTCCTGTCTGCCCTCTAGCTTTTGCTCTGTCCTCTGCTCCATCTGCAGTCACTGTTGCTCCGTACAGGTGTTGAAAATGCCTGTCCCTATAGCTGCTTAAAATGCCAGTGAAGCACAGGGTGTCTAACAGCAGTGAGCCCTTCCATTCCATTCCACAGCATATTACATTCCCTAAAGCTAATCAGGGTAACTGATTTCACCTTTCTACAGTTGTGTGTGCCTATGTATTCACGAGTACACAGTCTCTGCTACAAATTGGGAACTGATCAGAATCAAGTTTTACTTGGAGTCTTTCCTTGTTGCACTTAATTGACATTGATTTATGATGTTTGGCATCATAAATTTAATAAATGAAGAAACTCTGGCCTGGCCAGTGTAGCTCAGTGGTTGAGTGTCAACCTATGAACCTGGAGGTCACAGTTTTATTCCCGGTTGGGGCACATGCCTGGGTTGTGGGCTTGACCCCCCATTGTTGGGTGTGCAGGAGGCAGCCGATCAATGACTCTCTCTCATCATTGATGTTTCTATCTTCCCTCTGAAACCAATAAAAACATATTTTTTAAAAAAAGAAGAAACTCTGTTTTACTAAGATTTGTGTAAATACCTATATATTTGCCTATCAGTATTAATCGTTCTCTTAACAGACCCAACTCACTCAATGTCGGTACTTGGAGAATTTCAGTAGCCTTGACTCACACTTCACCCAGCTCTTAATCAAACAGAAGTTCAAGTTCAGCAAAATCTCACATCTTCATTGTTTCTGATAGACTTTTCAGTTGTCTCTGACAGTTCACATAACTCATTCGTTCGTCTAACTTGAAGGTTTTAATTCTTTAGGCTGATTTTGTCATTCAGAGGTTTGTGCCGCATAACTAGCTGATAGTTTTTTATTTTACATGCAGTAGCCCTGGGCAGAGGGCCCCACAGTTGGTTTATAGGGCTTAGGCTACTACTTGCATGATGAGTGGGATCTTAAGAAAGATTTTAGAATAATTAAGCTGGAGTCCAAAAGGAATGCTTTTAGAAAATTATGCTGGGGGTTTTGGGATATAGCTAAACTCAGGTGTACTTCTGAACAGACATGAGTCAACATTTCAAGCTGCTAAGGCAGCACATGACGATAATCTCTGCTTCCTTAAACCAGCTTCCTGGAACTGACTGCCCTCCCTGGGGAGAGTGAAAATGCTTATCCTTGAAAAAGGTGACCTTACACTGAAGCTGCATGTGCTTATTAAAATGTGCATTCTATTCCAGTCACTCTTGCTCAGTTCCTTCAGTGAGTTCAGTTGCCTTAGGATAAATCTAAACTCCTTCGTTAGATTCTTGCTCACCTTTCCAGCACATCTTTGCATACCTCACGTACTATCTCCCACCATCCCAAATCAGTGTGTAGTCCCCACACTTGCCTTTATCTCTTGGCTTCCGCTGGGACTTTGTACTGGTGTACCTTTTCCCTACTCATTTTCCTGAAAGTCTTCCCCTCTCTGGTCACTGTCCCTAGGTTTCTCCCTGGTACCCCAAGTAGCATTTCTTATTTATTCTAGCCCCTTGGAATTCTTATATTCTTGAATAAATGTCATGCCTACCAGAATACCTCTTATTCTCCTGGACCTTTCTTGGTTTAATAACTTTGATTTAAGAGGGAAAGGCCTGTTTCGAATTGCTATGTATATCTTGTTGGTAATGTTTTATCCTTTTCTAAGATTAGAAACTATAAGCATTGAGCTTTAATGTAAATCAAAATTGTTTATTATACAGCATTCTCTTTCTATATTTATTACTTTAATACGTATTCTTTACAGCCTACCAATTCTGTTAGGTTTTACTTTGAGAAGTACCTGTCATTCTTTTAAAAGGTAATGGTTTATTTATACTTCATTACTAAACACTTGCTTTAACTTAATATATTTTTAATGTGTGATTTGAAAAAAAACACCCCATCAATATAAGAAAATAATTAGTGGGTGTATACTTGCTCGGTCTTTGCTTCCTCCTCCTATTTTATTCATAGGCTGGAATGTGCTTTTCTGCTTTTTAGTTTCCAAACATTTTCTCAGTTTAGAATAAATTAATTGGCGAGAAGAAAGCATTACACTGGCAGAAGAGGCTACTGCTAAAGTGAACTGTCAGCTGGAGCACCTACTCTATGTTAGGGATGACATAAGTATTTGAGATACCTTAGTGAACAAATCAATTTAAATAAATGTAGGGTTATAGAGCTCACATTCCAGGAGAGGTAGACAGAAAATAATACATACCATACATAAGTAAACTCTGTAATATATTAGGTGGTTATAGGTTATATGGGAGAAACACACTAAGAGAAATGAAGCACGTGTGGTGGGAATAAGAAGCAGATGACCATTTTAAGTAGGAGTCAGGAGAGACCTCAATGAGAAGGTAGCATTTAAACAAAACTTGAAGAAGTTGAGGGAGTTACCCATCGAATACAGGAACAAGCGCATTCTGGGAAGTGGGAGCCTGTTTGCAGCGGGGGAGGCTAGTAGGTTGGAGTGAAGCAAACCAAGGGAGAGGAGCAGGAGACTGGTCAGCAGGGAACAGGAAGATCAGGTCCTGCAGAGCCTGTAAGCCATTGTGAAGACTTAGGGTTTCACTTTGAGTAAATTAGAGAATTTTAAAGGGGAGTATATCTCTAAAGACTTCATCTACTACATCATGAGTTATTCACCTGAAATTTGTTGTTTTGGCTTTAACATATTTCATTGATTGACTAGAGGCCTGGTGACAAAAATTTGTGCACTCGGGTGGGGGGGGTGGTCCCTCAGCCCAGCTTGTGCCTTCTCGCAGTCTGGGACACCTCGGGGGATGACCATCTGCTGGCTTAGGCCTGCTCCCCGGGGGATTGGGCCTAAGCTGGCAATCAGACATCCCTCTGGCAGCCCGGCAGCCCTCGGGGGATGTCCACTTGCCAGCCGGGAACAGACCTAAGCTGCAGTCGGACATCCTTAGCGCTGCTGAGGAGGCAGGAGAGGCTCCCGCCACCACTGCTGTACTGGCAGCCATCAGCCTGGCTTGTGGCTGAGCAGAGCTCCCCCTGTGGGAGCGCACTGACCACCAGAGGGCAGCTTCTGCATTGAGCGTCTGCCCCATGGTGGTCAGTGTGTGTCATAGTGACCAGTCATTTCCAGTCTTTCTGCTGTTAGGGTCAGTTTGCATATTACCCTTTTACTATATAGGATAGAGGCCTGGTGCACGGGTGGGGGCCGGCTGGTTTGCCCTGAAGGGTGTCCCGGATCAGGGTGGGGGTCCCCACTGGTGTGCCTGGCCAGCCTGGATGAGGGGCTGATGGCTGTTTTCAGGCTGCCCGCACCGCCTTTAGGGTGGGGGTCCCCACTGGGGTGCCTGGCCAGTCTGGTTGAGGGGCTGAGGGTTTTCAGGCTGGTCAAGCCCGCCAGCAACTGAAGCTACCAGCCTCTCCTTTTTTCTTTTTTTTTTTTTTTAAAATTATGGGATTTATTTACCTTCTATAACTGAAACTTTGTTGCCGCTCCAGCTCCGAGGCCACGGCCTGCTGAAAGCAGGTATCTGGGGTTTGTTTAGCTTCTATAATTGCAACTTTGTTGCTTAGAGTAGAGCTCAGAGCTCGGCCGCAGCAGGGAGGAAGCTCCATCACTGGAGCAAGCAAGCCTCCTGCTTGCTTCAGCTGCGTGGCTGCCGGCCGCCATCTTTGTTGGCGGTTAATTTGCATATCTCGCTGATTAGCCAATGGGAAGCGTAGCGGAGATATGGTTAATTTCTTTCTTTTTTTTTTTTAATTATATATGTGTTTTCTTTTTTCTCTCTTTTTTTTATTGCTTAAAGTATTACAAAGAGTATTACATATGTCTCCTTTTTTTTTTTTCCCCGCCCTTGACAATCCCCCGGCCTCCCCTACCCCCCAGTGTCTTATGTCCATTGGTTATGCTTATATGCATGCATACAAGTCCTTCGGTTGATCTCTTACCCCCCTGGTTAATTTCAATCTCTGTCTATTATTAGATAGGATTGCTTGACTTTAGAGATACGTGACAGAGACAGAGTGAAACATCGATTTGTTGTTCCACTTATTTATGCATTCATTGGTTGCTCCTTGCATGTGCCCTGACTGGGGATAGAAATTGCAATGTTGGTGTATTGGGACGATGCTCTAACCAACTAATCTACCTGGCCAGGGTTATATGATACTTTTAAACCAATTAGCTCTGCATGTATTTGATGAAGGCTGCTCCTAAAGTGGTAATACATACACTTTAATTTGCCGATGTAGGAGCCTTATCCTGCACCTGAGGATATCTCCATGAAGGAAGAGAACCTCTGTCAAGCTTTCTCTGATGCTTTGCTCTGCAAGATTGAAGATATTGATAATGAAGATTGGGAGAACCCTCAGCTCTGCAGCGACTACGTTAAGGATATCTATCAGTATCTGAGACAGCTTGAGGTGAGTGGTCCTTCGTGTCTTGGTTGTGTAAACAGTGTCAAATGTACCACACAGTTGGGAAGGAAACGAGTTCAGCTCTTTAAACTTTTAATTCTCCCAACAGGTTCTGCAAACCATAAGTCCACATTTCTTAGATGGAAGAGAGATAAATGGACGCATGCGTGCCATCCTGGTGGACTGGCTGGTACAGGTCCACTCCAAGTTTAGGCTGCTGCAGGAGACCCTCTACATGTGCGTCGCCATTATGGATCGGTTTTTACAGGTCAGTGTGGCTGCGGGGACTTCGTACCAGGGGCTCACAGAACATTGCGTTTATGGGATGCCAAGGTGTGGTAGCTCTGAAGAAAAGACCAAAAGCCAATTTATGAGAAGCCAGAGAACTTCAGGGGCTAGAATGGGAAGCTCTCCAAGTGTGTCAAACCTCTGGTGGTTCTGAGCAATGGGGGGCATTTTAGTTCGGCCAGCCTTCTGAACAGGCTGGGGGAATACGGCATTGCCTCAGTCACTCCTGAAGGAGGTGTGCCAGCAGATGGTCTGCAGTCAGTCTGACGCCTGTGGGGCCTGTGATGCTGGCTTTCCTGGCCTGCTTGCGGTTTCCATAGTACAGTATTCTTTGGTGAGCTTCCTCTGAAAAGAGGAGTTTGGTTAGAGAACTTGAAAGTTTCCAGCCAGGTGTGACTTTGAATCATGGTAGAAGTGGAGGAGGCAGAATTTTTTATAAAAGGGTTGGGGTATGTGGGGGGAGTGTATTAGAATGAAATCTCAACTAAGGACTGTAAGAAATGAAGGTGAGAGGCAGAGTGATCATCAAAATATTTATCAATTGGTAAGTCAAAAACACCAACCACTTAGAAGAAATTCCAGACATAAACCATGAGTGTGTAATCTACCAAACAGTAGCCTTGCAGATATGATTTATTTATGTAAAGTCAACGTTTATGATACAGGTTTAGGTCAAGTATAAACAATACAACAAAAACTGTGTTTATAATTAATGACCCTAAGATACTACAAAATCCTAAGAAACCATAGTGGTTTTCATTATACAAGTGATTTACATTATACAGTCATATTTTTGGTAGTTTTCAGTAATTGGAGTTGAAGCAAGAAAAGCAAAGTCCCAGTTTTATTTGTTTTTGTTTTTCTAAGGAATTAAGGGGGGCATTTATACCCTAGACTGAGATTTTCACTGACTATGAAACGTCTATGAAAGATTCTTCAGACTGAATAAAGAGTATACTTTTGGTGAGGATTACAGAAACATTTAAGAATCTCCTTCCTTGTCCCCAGGAGGCCATTAAATTCCTGCTTTTTGGCTTGGCCTTATGCTGATTCAGACCATGTTGAGTGCCACATTGGGGCTTCCCTAGACACTCAAGCCAGGACAACGGGCATGGAGCAGTGACTGGGAGCTTCGTTGTCATGCCTAATTCTTCTCCACTCAGCAATTGAGTCCTCTTGGACTGGTGTCTGAATCTCTTATCAGGCCATCTGTTTTTAGGTTGGGGAAAATATGTATTTCATAGGGTTTTTGATTCGATGAGGTGGTTGTTAGAATCTTAGCATTGTGCCTGGCATGTCGTGAGTACTCAGTAACAGACAGTGGTGCTACCGGCTGTTAACATTTAGGCCTCCAATGTGAGAGAGTCAATGTGCACATCTCCAGGACTCGGTTCCCTCTCACTCTCTTCCACCCAGATTTCCAGTCTTCTTGTTAGGTATGACTTGGACACATTCTTCTCCAATTAGGTTCAGCCAGTCTCTCGTAAGAAGCTTCAACTGGTTGGGATTACAGCTTTGCTTTTGGCCTCCAAGTATGAGGAAATGTTTTCTCCAAATATAGAAGACTTCGTTTACATCACAGACAATGCGTATACCAGTTCCCAAATCCGAGAAATGGAAGCTCTAATTTTGAAAGAACTGAAATTTGAGTTGGGTCGGCCTTTACCACTACATTTTTTAAGGCGGGCATCAAAAGCTGGGGAGGTAAGTGCCTCCAATTCTGTAGGAGACTTTCTTTTGCTGCTTGTTGTCTCAACCCAGAAACATTGATCCAATTAAAGTGAAACTTATGAATTTATAGGATACATCTTTTAGATAAGTCCTAATACTTATCGCATCAGCTCTTAAGAGAAATGACCTCACATTCTGTGTTTGACATACTGTGGAGTAGAATGGTTCCTGGGAAGGAAAAGTGAGTTTAGTGGATTTGTGTTCTTAGTCCTCCATCCAGAAATTTGCAAGATAATAACTGTGCTCCTTCCTCTCTCTGGCTGTTCTTTCGTAGGTTGATGTTGAGCAGCACACGTTAGCCAAATATTTGATGGAACTGACGCTCATCGACTACGACATGGTGCATTATCACCCTTCCAGGGTGGCAGCGGCTGCTTCCTGCCTGTCCCAGAAGGTTCTAGGCCAAGGAAAATGGGTGAGTGTTGGATTTAAGAAGAAATTTGTCAAGTCATATTGTAGGACCTCTTGACAGGAAAGACATTAGCATTTTTATAACTCTGTCCTTAAGCAATTGTTAAGAGTCCAAAGGCATAAAAAAAGCTGTTGGAATGATCCAGATGGAGAGAGGCGATGACACCATGGTACACATGCGTTACAGAGTCATAAAGAATGAGGACGGCCCTGGCCAGTTTGTTCAGGTTAGAGCGTCAACCCTAGGACTGAAAGGTCTTAGGTTCGATTCCTGGTCAAGGGCATGTACCTTGGTTGCAGATTCAGTTCCCAGCCCTGGTTGGGGTGTGAGTAGGAGGCAACCAACTGATATGTCTCTCTCACATGGGTGTTTCTCCCTCCCTCCCTCCTTTCCTTCCTCCCTCCCTCCCAACCTTCCCTTCCACATTCTCTAAAAATCAGTAGAAAAAATATCTTCACTCCTAGGGTGAGGATTAAGAAAACAAATAAGGAAGGCCACCAAGAATAGGCTAAGATTTCTTGGATATTTTGTTAAGTGAAACAAGCAAATTGTGAAACACACAAGACAAAGCAAGGCCAAAGCCCAACTGATATACCAGTACAGATAAAATGAGCCATTTTTAGATTCATACAAGGAGACAAAGATGCTAGCTCCTCGGGTCCTTGTCTCGCTTGCCAAAGAGAACAACATTGAAACAAAAGGGACTGGATGACTGCAGTGCAGGGCATGGGATGCCCTTTGTGCAGGCGCCTATTCTAGACTGCCACCAAGCAGGCGTATAGTCTGTAGCTGAACCTGAGAGCAGCAGAGAAGAGCCTCCTCAGAACCAGGAGGTGATGAGAAATGGTCTCCTAACAGCCTCCCAGGGGAGATAGGGAGGTGAGTGGGAGCTGGCTTAGAGGCAGCTCCTCCCAAGCTGGCCAGCCCCTCGTTCCGGGAGGATCACGAGACAGATAAGCCGTGCTCAGACCTCTGCCTGCACGGCCTATGTGGATACATGCAAGATACCAAGGCATCATGGCAGAGCTGTTTCCTCCATACACGTGTGTATAGTTAACACTTTATGTAAGAAAGAAGGGCAGTAAGAGAGTATATGTATGTGTGTTTATGTATTTGCTAAGCTTTAAAAAAATAAAGGAAGACCCAAAAGGAGTGTAGATGGATACCCATTGACTTAGGTGGGAACAGGGGAGAAGGTGGAGGATGGGAGCAGGACTTCTGGCTATAATTTTTATTAACTTGTATACAATATAATGTAACTTTTTAACTTTTGAACAGTGCAAATGTTTTATGCAAACCATAAAATGGAATTAAGCAGAAACAATTTCACTATCAAATTGATAATAGAACATAGGGAAAAATTAATTCAAATGCCTTTTGAACACAGCATTCTGACTGTGCATCCTTAGTGGGATTTGAAGTTAGATAAAACAAAGGACCAAAAAAGGCAACATACTTATAATTTACTTAGGAAGTTTGTTAATAATCTGTTATTATAATTCTGAAACTATTTATGTATTGTAGGATAAATAAATAAACATTTAAATTATTAAGGATTTAAAATGTTCACTATAAGTGGAAAGAGAAAATATTGTTAGTAATTAAAAACAAAAGGGAAAACCCTATAATATTAAATCTGTTTTGGAAATGTCAGTAAATGCATAATGAAGGGGCCGAGAAACAATGGCCACTCAGTAGCAGTCAACATACCTAGTAGCCACATTTTTTTTTTTAATTTGATACTTTAAAAAAATATATATATTTTATTGATTTTTTACAGAGAGGAAGGGAGAGGGATAGAGAGTTAGAAACATCGATGAGAGAGAAAGAAACATCGATCAGCTGCCTCCTGCACACCCCCTACTGGGGATGTACCCACAACCAAGGTACATGCCCTTGACCGGAATCGAACCTGGGACCTTTCAGTCCACAGGCCGATGCTCTATCCACTGAGCCAAACCGGTTACGGCCCTAGTAGCCACATCTTGAATACAACTATGGCTCCTTTAAGAAGGCTGATTTCAGGGCTGTGGCAGGAGAAGTACAAGATGAGCAAGATAGCAAGCAAAGATCAATGCAGTGGGTCACATCAAAAGGAAATGGGAACTGGCTTCAAAAGGCTTTTACTGAAAAAATTTGAGCATGACAAGGAATAGTGAAAGTAATAGATTATAATACATTTCAAAAATTCACAAGTCCATAATGATAAGAAGGAAAGGAAAACGGAAAGGAAAGGAAACAGGCCCTGGCCAGATAGCTCAGTTGGTTAGAGCATCACCCCAATACGCCAAGGTTGCAGGTTCAATCCCTAGTCAGGGCACGTACAAGAATCAACCAAAGAATGCATAAGTAAGCGAAACAACAAATCGGTGTTTTTCTCTCTCCCTCTCTCCCTCTCTCCCTCTCCCCCCCCCCCTCTCTCTCACCAATCAATAAGTAAAAAATTTTAAAAATAAAGAAAGATAAGGAGGAAGAAGATAGGAAGAGAGAGAGAAAGAAAGGGGCGGCTTTTTTGTAATCAGTCAAAAGCCAGCTATTTACAGTGGAAAGAATGGTAGAGTTAGAAATGAACCAATGTAATTCATCAATTGATACTTATGTCATTAGGTGAAATTTTTGGGCATGAGATCCACATGGTCTCAAAATATCACCTCACAGATACATAGTAATACTGAAGAAAAACTGTACCTTTACAATGGGGAAGTTTTTTATTTATATATTTTTTTATTTACTAGGGGGCGATGCACGAAATTCATGCAAGAGTAGACCTTCCTTCCCCTGGCTGCTGGCACCAGCTTCCCTCAGGCTGCTGGCACCAGCTTCCCTCAGGCACCCAGGACCCAGGCTTCCCTCTGGCTATTGGCACCCAGGCCCCAGGCTTCCCTCGCAGAGGGAGGCTCTGCCCACCCACTGTAGCCCGCCAGTCGGTGGCCTGGGCCTCCCTCTGCGGGGCGATCATGGGGCGATGGCCGGCCCCCGACCAATCGCATCGCACCCGCCTTGGCTGGCCTGGCGCCAGTGTGTGTCATAGCAAGGATGGTCATCTGGATGGTCCCGGATGGTCATCCAGATGGTTGTTCTGCTGTTCAGCCATTCAGTCGATTTGCATATATATGTAGGATATGTGTGTGTGTATATATATGTACATATATATATATGTATATATGTGTATACACACACACATACAATTTTTATATAATATACATGGTGAGGTGAAAGGTTTACAGTTATGAGTATGCAAAACAGTTTATTCTTGTATTAGTATTAATTATTGTATTATTTTCCACACAAACAATACACTTGCATATATATATATAGGGTATCCCCAAAAAATGCATACATACTTTAACAGCCGATAGCTATTAAATGAAAATGAAATGTATTTTAATAAACACTGCCTTTATAATTATTCCAAGTCTGTGTATACATTTTTTGGCACACCCTGAATATACTTTTTGCTGCACTATTTAAAGGTGAGTTGCAGACACCATGATAAAGTGGCAAAATGTCAATTGATGAATCTACACAAAGGATATAAGATGTTCATTATATTATTCTTTTAGTTTTTCTGTAGATTTGAGATTTTTTGAAATAAAAAGCTTAAGGTAAAAAGGCCACTGGTATATGAATGGTACATAGTTCTGGTACCAATGGCTCATTTTAGCCAAATTACATTGCTCTCAGACACGCTTCCTTGGGTTCTAAACCTAACTACAGGTCTCCCTGTTTTCTGGGAATTGACTTCATAGTACCAATAGTTGTGTGTTATTTCAGGATTTGCTCCTGTTTAGTTCTTTTTTTTCTTTAATCTTTTTTAGTAGTAAGATTAAGTTGTGGTTTATTTTTCCCAATTACATTGTACCTGTGAAAGAGATGTGCTTCAGCTTTTAGTATTTATCACAGAACTGAAATAAAGTCAGGTTACATATCTTCATACATGAAGTCTTATTATCCATCAACACTGTCTTTTGCTTGAATTTTGTTCTCTGGGAGGCTGGGTGTGGAGGCTTCTCTGAGCGCTCTGTTCTCCAGGGCTTGTGAGAGTCCTGGGTGGCCTTTGCCCTTCCCGATTCAGTAAATTAGAAGCTGCCTTTGGCCTAGCTGTTGTCTGACCGACAATATGGCTCTTGAGCTCCCCACCAGCCACTGCCATGCTGGGCTTTGATGGGGGGCATGTGACATGCCCTAGTCCCAGGTTTCTGCCATAATTGTGACAGGCGTTCCTTTGTGGGTTTTGTTTTTCCTCTGCCCCACTTGCCATTCCCTTTCAGCGTGGTGAGAGGGGTAAGCAAGAAGCTTTGTTACGTGAAGTACCCTACTTACCCTGTGGAACCTTCTTTTAAAAAATGATGGTAGGGGAACTTTGACCTGATTTAGCTGAGAGCCGCACAACATCTTGGCTTAGTCCTGCGCGGAGTCAGTCATTCTCTGTTTGCTGGCTGCTCTGCTGGGACCAGGAGGGACGATTGTTCTTTTACAGCTTTTACACAGAAATGTCAGCATGTGTAAGATGGGCTCTTCTAAAGAAGTGGAGGCTTTACCGTGCCCCTCTCGTGCGTTGTGTTCCAGAACTTAAAGCAGCAGTATTACACTGGATACACCGAGAACGAGGTGTTGGAAGTCATGCAGCACATGGCCAAAAACGTAGTGAGAGTAAACGAAAACCTGACGAAGTTCATCGTAAGTACTCCTTGCTAAGCTGTGAAAGGTATTTGTGGACTTTGCATGTGAGAGTATTTGTATCTCTTTGTGTTTTCATGTAAATATATTGGCATATGTGTGAGAGTTTGTTTTAGCACAAGCTCTATTTTTCTAGTACACAGTGGATGGAGCATACTGATAAATGCTGAAAGCAGTTTCTTTAACCAGTTAACGGCCATGCGTCCAAAATGGAAACCATCCCCATTCCATATGCGCTGGAATATTTATGAATTTAAGTTACCATAACTTTTTTTTACAAACCTAGAGATGTCACTAACAAGCCTGATTTTAAAATTGGGCGACCAGAGTTGATATGCAAGGTTTGTGGCTACAGAAGCACTGGGTGTGTGGGGAAGGTCTGCCGCTTGCGCCTGTAAACGCTGATGGCGTGCAAAGGGTTAAAACAGGCCAACGATGTCCAGGCCCAGATTAGCCATCCAGGCAGCCAGCCGTTCAACAGAAGTATCCACGCCTGTCCCAGCGCCCCGTGGGCTCAGCCAGCAGGGAGCGCTGGTCAGCGGGTGGTCGGAACAGCAGGGGCCCACCTCAGATGGCCCAGAGGAAGGCTTGGGTATCTGGGTGATGTTCCTCAGGGCCTTTGTCCAGGATCCTTTGGGACAATGATGAAAGGCACCTGCCTAGCGAGCATGTGAAGGGGGGGCAAGCACCCGAGAGAAGGAGCCCGGGGAGATTGGGCACTGCCCTGTGCTTGTATGACACAGAATATCAGCTTCACGGAGAGTGAGGCATTTGTACCTCACACCCGGTTTGCTTTCTTACGTGTAGCTTCAGCACGATAGCACACAGTGGAAGCATAATGTTTAAGTCCTGTGGGTGTTGTCTGGGCTCTGCTAAGCACAATCGCCACTCAACGTTTATTGCCAGGGATTGCTGCCAGGCCTGGCCATCCTGTTATATCCTGATGGTACTTAGGTACAATAAGCACAGCTTCCACCTGCCACCCCTCTGGTAGCTTATGAGAGGGAGCCTGTGCCTTGGAGCTGGAAGTCATTTGGTGCTACCAGCTGGACCTGCTCCATTATTTGGCATGGAAGGAAGTTGTCAGGCACAGCTCAGTGTGGCCTCAGAGCACTTGCTGGCATCACCCTACCATCTGAGATTGTGGGTCTGGCCCTTCAGTACGTGTAAATTAGACTAGGAACAAGGTGTCAGGGGACGGAAGGGGGTCCTGATGTATCCTTAACCACAGATGACTTCTGCAGGCCATCAAGAATAAGTATGCAAGCAGCAAACTCCTGAAGATCAGCACGATTCCTCAGCTGAACTCAAAAGCCATTAAAGACCTCGCCCTCCCTCTGATGGGGCGGTCCTAGGCCCCGGTGCTCGGGAAGGTGCTTCGTCTGGCCCTTTCTCTTGCTCATTTGGAACTCGCGACTTTGTATGTAATTCTTTGGTCTACTCCATGAAACCTCTTCTCAGACCTATTTTCTAACTATATATTGAGGAAAAATAAAGCTATTGATTTTTCTTAAGGTATCCTGTGTGCATTTGTGCATTCTATACTGAATAAGTCAGTAGATACTTGCTTTGACTAATTTCTCTTTGAGCTATTTGCATATAAATTATTGCCTTCATAGCTTTGGGAAAGACCTTCCTGACCTTCCTACCATTTTTCTCAAATGGAAAATCTAGAATTTGGCTTTAGTGATTGCCTACTGATTCCTAAACTTCCTGAATATGAAAAGATTGATTCATTATGAAAATTTAAAAGGAGAGGCTAATCGTGGCTATTCCCTTTCTAGAACCTACTCAATTATTCTCTTAATTCCCATACAGAACACCTGGCCCACTGGGACTGTGGCTACCACAGTAACCATCACAATGGGTCTCAATCTCACAGGCTCACTGAGACTGGGAATAGCAGCCCTAAGGGGCCTGTGACATCCTGTTAAAGTAGAAACTTGGGATGCAGTTTCCTGTTGTGCTGTTTCAACTACATTATGGGTTACTTTTTTTTCCCAGTAGGCATGTGATCACATTTAACATTGTTTTCTAAGGGAGAATGCATTCTCAGTTTCCAACCACTACCTTAAAAAACAAAACCCTCTTAAAATAAATGTGTCTCTTATAGCAACAACTTCCCAAACTATTAGTTCAACAAGATGTTAATTGGACTTTTGAGAAAAAGGAGTTAGTCATACATTTGGGAAACATCACAAATGCATGTGAGATTCTTAAAGATTCTGAGGTGCTTCAGTAACTAAACTCATTTCACTCTGTGTTTCGGAACCTGGATGTGGCTACAAGCTGCCTTCTACATGACAGCGAAGCCCACAGGTGCCTGGTTCTGTGACTGGCTCTGACTGCCCCCTGAGGAGAACCCGCTCCGGCCAGGGCTGGCTTCTCACCCCTTCCCCTGGGCAGGCCAGCAGCCCTCCTGACTAGTTGAAGCATTTAGATAGAGACACTAGTGTAAAGTTTTATCAATCCCCTTGTTGAGATAGTGGGACTTGTTCCCATGGCAGCCTCAGACACTGACAGATGACGAAGTGTGAAAGATAACTAAGTGAGACCACAAACGGGGGCTTTCCTGGCTCCAACTTCTCATCAGGAAAGGATGGGTTTTGTAGTCATACTCCAAAGACATTTTATAGCCTCTTTATGACATACTTTGCTTAGTTAAGTATTAAATACTCTGACTCAGGAAATTCCTACTTTTGGATGTCATGAAAAGACCTTTAAGATACTTCCTTATGTGCCACAGCAGGCGCCCAAACTCAAGTGTTATAAATGTGCAGTCAGCTATAAAGGTAGAAGTTGTAATATAAAAACGCTGGAATTAGGAAACGTGATGAGGTAACCAGTATTTGAAGAGCACAGACCGGCTGGGTTGTTGGGCCTGAGCCTGGGAGCTGTGTGGCCTGTGGGCGCTGGGGTAAGGGTGTCGACCTCAGATGTGCTAAAGTGCGACAGGCCTGGAGCACAGCGTCTGGAGGCGTGTGAACGTGAGTGGCTATGATTTTAAGGAGGTTGCTGGTCTGGGATGGAATCTGGGTATTCAAAGGTGTGTTAGGTAGAGCTCTTGCCTATCAAAGGAGTTACAGATTTATAGCTGTTGATTCATTTTTGGGAGTTTTTCTTTTTAGGTTTTTTATTTTTGAGAAAGATACTAGATGCATAAAGGTTGACAAATTAGACTGAGTGTTAAACTCTTTGTTGAAGACTTAAGATTAAAAGTGTGGGCCTTGGGGTCAGATCAGGGTTCAAATGATGGTACCTCTACTTCAGAGCTATGTGATCTTGGGCAATAGGATCACCTTTCCTCATGTCATCACATGGCTTTATTTTCCGCTCTTAAAAGGTAATGAAATATACTTTAAATGTTATGTTATTGTTACTGAGAAGGGTTTGCTCCCTGTTCTTGATAAAACACAGAATTCAGTGGTTTACTTTGTACCGAATTCAGATACATTTTGTTCTTTATATGTAACCCCTGATAATTTTCCCCCACAGGACTTGGGGATCCTGAAATGATAAAAAGGTGTGTGCTGGCCAAACCCTACTTTCCCAATAGCTTACGAATGACTGTGGCAGAATAATCCCAGGGTCACCTGGTGCACTGATAAACTTGAGAAGTGCCTTTTTGCCCTAGATTTCAGCGAAAATGCTGAAATTGAATAAAGTGGGTCGCTGTTCTTGGGTTCGTCAATTAAGGAGTCTTCTGCTGTGAGTGTAAGGATTTCACGATGTATAAGAGAACTGGCTGGGTCCTCACTTCCAAGATGACCAAGAAAAGAAGGAACAACGGATGTGCAACTTATTGGTTGCACCAACAGCCCCTGATACAGGCCCAAGGACAAGGCCATTAAGAAGTTCATCAAAACATAGTAGAGGCCACAGCCTTTAGGGACATTTCTGAAGCCAGTGTAGTCCATGCCTCTGTGCTTCCCAAGCTGTATGTGAAACTACCCTACAGTGTGAGCTGTGCCCTTCCCAGCAAGGTGTCAGGAATCCTGAGCCCAGAAGGACCCCCACCCTCACCCTGAAATACACCGGTGGGTGCTGCCCCACAACCTCCACCAAAGCTCATGTAAGGAGCTAAGTAAGTTCTAAGGGCTGAAGAAAAGTTCTCTGGGAAAAAAAGAAATGGAAATTGTACTTAAAAAAAGAAAAAAGAAAGACTGACTGTGGCAACTGGGAGTGGAGGTAGAGAAGTGAGTCTCCCCTAGAACCTTTTCCTTATTACGCACATGCCATTTCCCCCAACTTTTCACTATTACTGCAGTAACACTGAATGCGTTGGCTAGGGCTGCCTTAGCAAAGTACAATGGCCTGGGTGGCTTAGCGACGGATTTATGGTCTTACAATTGTGGAGGCTGAAGTCTGAGACCCAGGTGCTGGTCTTCTGAGGGAAGACCTGTTCCAGACCCCTCTCCTTGGCTTGTAGCTGGCTGACTCCACATCATCTTCCCTCTCAATGTGCCAATCTGAGTCTAAATTTCCCTTTTATCAGGATGCCAGGAGTATTGGATTAAGGTGCTTCCTAATGGCTTCATTTTAACTTGATTACCTCTGTAAAGAACCTATTTCCAAATAAGGTCATATACGGAGGTACTGGGGATTAATATATCTTCAAAATATCTTTTTTGGTAGGATATGGACACAACCCATAATAAATGTTGAGAAAGAACAAGGGGGTTCACTGATTCCTTTATTAGGAGGTGAGGGGGGCAGGGGAAATCACCTGTAGGGGAAGGGTTGGAAGGGCCTTGCGGGGGCGGAGCTAGAAAGCAGTAACACTGATTCTATAGTTGGAAGGAGTAGTGCACATCTGTAAGTACCTGGTGCGAGTTTTGTAATAAAACCTACCTTATGAATAAGTACAGTGGAATACTACTTAGTACATTCATACATGTTTCTACCATCTTGAGATTTTTTTTTTTATATATACAGTATATGATCTGTTTTTATAAATGTACAGCTTGAAAAAAAAAAGACCCTTCTAGTAATAGGTACAGCATTAAACACAAAACCAACATGGGCCAGCCACATTCCCACTGAAGACCCAGGAAAGCAAGGCAGACAGCCCAGCCCCCAGCCCCACTCAGCCCCGCAGCCTGATGGTCCCAGGAAGTGTAAACCAGCGCCCCTCTGCTCCCATGGGCTCAGCAGGCCATGCCCGCCCCTAGCATTTGCACCAGAGGTGCCCACTCACGCCTGCAGAGAGGGGAGGGGGCAGAGGGAAGGTGTGTCAGGTAAGGAAAAGAGGGATGAGAGAAATGTGCTCTTCAATTAAAGGCACTTGTCAGCGGCCGCCCACAGCCATTCCCTGGGCCTGGTGAGCGAGCGGGGCGCTGTTCTGATAGAGCCAACAAGGTCTGAGTGGACCCCGCCTGTCCTCTCACCAGGTTTAAATAGAATAAATAAATCTTAGTGGGTGGTTGTTTTGCCCTCCTGGGTTCTCGTGAATAGGCTATCTTGTAGGATCATTTATGGAGTGACAACCCTTTCCCCAACCCAGCCTTTCAATGTCCTGGGGAAGGTGCCAGAATAACTCCAGGCCGTGGTGAAGCAGTTGATCATTATAGATCAGAAGGAGAGCCCCAAATGTCCCCTCCCTGTCTGTGCCTGGAGCGCCTTCGCCCGTGCGTCAGTCTCTGTGCAACTCAGATCTTGGTCACGTAGTTGTTGGGGAACAGACCCTGCTTGCCTCGGAGCCGGCCAGTCCACCAGCCAGAAGGATCTGTAGGGAGACAAATGGCAGAACTGAAGGGGGGCTGGGCTGTTCTACCCTGGCCAAATGCCCCCTCCCACGCAGGGTGCAGCCAGGCAAGCGTGATTTGTCTACAGCCACATTCTTTTTTCTTCTTAATTTTCTTTAATGTTTTATTTTTTTCCTATCACCATTAATCCCCTCAATGCCCTTTCCAACTCCACCCATCCAACTAACCTGTCCCTAACAGCAGGACCACAGATGGGCTACTCAGGGCCATCTTCAGGGAAGGACCTGCTGCCCAGATGTGAGGTGGTGCTGGTGACAGCTTCCAGCTGTCGATCCTTTAGGACAGAAATGAGTCCATGGCTCTTTAGGGTAGCTGGGGGAGATCTAACCCTAACCCTACCTGTAACCATAAAAGTAACGGTAACCCTAACCCTAGGGCCCATCAAACCCTAACCCTAACCCTAACCCTAACCCTAACCCTAACCCTAGGGCCCATCTAACCG